TTCCCTGCCTCCATTGTTGAGGTGGCCGAACGGAGCTGTGGTCGCAGGATCGTTTGTGCCTGTCGTGGTGGCAACCCCCGAACCCGCTGGTGGTTAGGGATGCTGTCAAGCTGAAGAAAGAGTCCTATCAGGACTTTTTGGCCTTTGGGACTCCAGAGGCAGCTGATGAGTACCAGCAGTTCAAGCGGAACGCAGCTCAGGTGGTCGCCAAGGCAAAAACCCGGGCATGGGAGGAGTTTGGTGAGATTGTGGAGCAAGACTTCCGTACGGCTTCGAGGAGATGCTGGTCCACCGGCGCCTCAGGGGGGGAATGCAGTGAGCTACCAACTCTATCTATAGTGTGGACGGTGTGCTGCTGACCTCTACTCAGGACGTTGTGAATCGGTGGGCAGAATACTTCGAAGACCTTCTCAGTCCCGCCGACACGTCTTCCAGTGAGGAAGCAGAGTCTGGAGACTTTGGGTTGGCCTCTGAAATCTCTGGTGCTGAGGTCACTGAGGAGGTTAAAAAGCTCCTCTGTGGCAAGGCTCCAGGGGTGGATGAGATCCGCCCAGAGTTCCTTAAGGCTCTGGATGTTGTGGGGCTTTGTTGGCTGACGCGGCTCTGCAATATCGCGTGGACATCAGGGGCAGTCCCACTGGACTGGAAGACCGGGGTGGTGGTCCCGTCATTTAAAAAGGGGGGCCGCAGGGTGTCTTCCAGCTACAGGGGATCACACTCCTGAGCCTTCCTGGTAAGGTCTATTCAGGGGTTCTGGAGAGGCGGGTCCGTCGGATTGTTGAGCCTCAGATTCAGGAGGAGCAATGTGGTTTTGGTCCTGGCCGTGGAACACTGGACCAGCTCTATACCCTTAGGGGGATCCTGGAGGGTGCGTGGGAATTTGCCCAACCAGTCTACATGTGTTTTGTGGATTTGGAGAATGCGTTTGACCGCGTCCATCGGGGGGCCCTGTGGGGTACTCCGGGAGTATGGGATACCAGGCCCTCTGATACGGGCTGTTAGGTCCCTGTATGACCGGTGTCAGAGCTTGGTCCGCGTTGCCGGCAGTAAGTCGGGCTCGTTCCCAGTGAGAGTTGGACTCCGCCAAGGCTGCCCTTTGTCACCGATTCTGTTCATAACCTTTATGGACAGGATTTCTAGGCGCAGCCAAGGTGTGGAGGGCATCCGTTTTGGTGGCCTGAGGATCGGGTCTCTGCTTTTTGCAGATGATGTGGTCCTGTTGGCTTCATCAGAACGTGATCTTCAGCTTTCACTAGAGCGGTTCGCAGCCGAGTGTGAAGCAGCTGGGATGAGAATAAGCTCCTCTAAATCTGAGACCATGGTCTTGATTCGGAAAAGGGTAGAATTCCTTCTCCGGGTCAGGGATGAGGTCCTGCCCCAAGTGGAGGAGTTTAAGTATCTCGGGGTCTTGTTCACGAGTGAGGGAAAACTGGAGCGTGAGATCGATAGGTGGATTGGTGCTGCATCTGCAGTGATGCGGGCGTTGTACCGGTCTGTCGTGGTGAAGAGAGAGCTGAGTCAGAAGGCGAAGCTCTTGATTTACCGGTAGATCTACGTTCCTACCCTCACCTATGGTCATGAGCTTTGGGTAGTGACCGAAAGAACGAGATCGCGGATACAAGCGGCCGAAATGAGTTTTCTCCAAAGAGTGGCTGGGCTCTCCCTTAGAGATAGGGTGAGAAGCTCGGTTATCCGGGAGGGGCTCGGAGTAGACCCGCTGCTCCTCCACATCGAGAGGAGCCAGTTGAGGTGGCTCGGGCATCTGGTCAGGATGCCTCCTGGATGCCTCCCTGGTGAGGTTTTCCGGGCACGTCCAACCAGGAGGAGACCTAAAGGTAGACCCAGGACACGGTGGAGGGACTATGTCTCTCACCTGACCAGGGAACGCCTTGGGATTCCCCCGGAGGAGCTGGCCCGAGTGGCTGGGGAGAGGGAAGTCTGGGCCTCTCGTCTTAGGCTGCTGCCCCCGCGACCCGACTCCGGATAATTGGATGAAAATGGATGGATGGATGGATTATAGATCCACTAGGATAGATACAATAAAGTTTATCTCTCACCAAATAGAATATTTACTAAGAATTCACAATATAACCATAGAAACACTACTGTGTGTGTGTGTGTGTGTGTGTGTGTGTGTGTGTGTGTGTGTGTGTGTGTGTGTGTGTGTGTGTGTGTCTGCTCTGTCGTCTCCATCCCCAGTGAGTCGTGGAGGATGGCTGCTTATACTGAGCCAGGATCATCTGGAGGTTTCTTCCTGTTAAAAGGGAGTTTTCCTCTCCACTGTCGCTGCATGCTTGCTTAGTATGAGGATTGCTGTGAAGACTCTGACACTAGTCAGTGACTCGATGCAATTTGCTGATTTCCTTAAATAGGAAACTTGTTACTGATTGGCTTAATGAACTGACCTGTACTGGAGTGTTTACTGTGTGAAGGTCAAGGGCGTCAGTTTGTTTTCAGAATTGCTGGGGACAATAAAGTAGGCTAAGATCTGAGCTGGTAAAATCAGCAGGCTTTTTTGAAAGTGGGGGGGACACAGCTGCCAATCACAAGTTTTGCCGGGGACATGTCCATGGCGTCCCCGGTTAAAATGACGCCTATGGTGAAGGTCCATGAGACGACTTGTCGTGGTTTGGCGCTTTATAAATAAACTGAACTGAATTGAATCAAACTTAGTAGTGATGCAGTGTTTTCTGACCGCTGTCCCGTTGTATTTGATGTATCAGTCCGCTGTACAGCTGTTATGCAGAGTGTGCAGCGAAGGCGTTTTAAACTCTTTCTGTGCTGAATAACTTAATGGAACTTTTAGGGTCCTCTCTGTGTCGTGGTGGTGGTGATGGGCGTCTCTGTGGCTGGATTTGTGGCTCAGTTCATGTTGCATTGTTTAAGATAGCTGCTCTGCTAAAGCTGCGCCGTGGTGCAGAATGCAGCAGCACCGTTGCTAACAGGCACCTGCAGGTGTGATCACATCACCTCGGTGCTAGCTTCTCTTCACTGGATTCCAGTTTTTAGAATTGGTTTAAGTTCTCGTGCCGACGTATAAACCTTTATACGGACTGGCACCATCATGCCTTTCAGACATTCTCCTGCCATGTGATCCTCGCTTGTGGTTTTGAACTCTTCTCAAGATGCACTTCTAGTCACCAGCATTTAACACGATCTGATCGTTGTACGTCCGCCCTTGTTTGATTTCTACATGTGTTTTGTTTTTTGAACTGTTTTTATGCAGATGTACACTCACCTAAAGGATTATTAGGAACACCTGTTCAACTTCTCCTTAATGCAATTATCTAATCAGCCAATCACAGGGCAGCTGCTTCAGAACATTTAGGGGCGTGGTCCTGGTCGAGACCATCTCCTGAACTCCAACCTGAAGGTCCGAATGGGAAAGAAAGGTGATTGAAGCTATTGTGAGCGTGGCGTGGTTGTTGGTGCCAGACGGGCCGGTCTGAGTATTTCCCAATCTGCTCAGTTACTGGGATTTTCACCCACAACCATATCTAGGTTTACAAAGAATGGTGTGAAAAGGGAAAAACATCCAGTGTGCAGCAGTCCTGTGGGCCAAAATGCCTTGTTGATGCTAGAGGTCAGAGGAGAACGGGCCGACTGATTCAAGCTGATAGAAGAGCCTAACCCTAACCCTCGTTACAACCGAGGAACGCAGCAAAGCGTCTGTGAAGCCACGACCTTGAGGCGGATGGGCTACAGCAGCAGAAGACCCCACCAGGTAGGTACCACTCATCTCCACTACAAACAGGAGAAAGAGGCTACAGTTTGCACCAGCTCACCAAAACTGGACAGTTAAAGACTGGAAACATGTTGCCTGGTCTGATGAGTCTCCATTTCTGTTGAGACATCCAGATGGTCGAGTCAGAGTTTGGCGTAAACAGAACGAGAACGTGGATCCATCATGCCTTGTTACCACTGTGCAGGCTGGTGGTGGAGGTGTCATGGTGTGGGGATGTTTTCTTGGTGCACTTTAGGCCCCTTAGTGCCAACTGGGCATGGTTTAAATGCCACGGGCTGCCTGAGCATCGTTTCTGACCATGTCCATCCTTTCATGACCACCATGTACCCATCCTCTGATGGCTACCTCCAGCAGGATCATGCACCATGCCATAAAGCTCCAATCATTTCTAACTGGTTTCTTGAACATGACGATGAGTTCACTGTACTACAACGACCCCCACAGTCACCAGATCTCACCCCAATAGAGCATCTTTGGGATGTGGTGGAACGGGAGCTTCGTGCCCTGGATGTGCATCCCCATCATCTCCATCAGCTGCAAGATGCTGTCCTGTCAACATGGCCGACATTTCTAAAGATGCTTTCAGCACCTTGTTGGATCAACGCCACGTAGAATTAAGGCCGTTCTGAAGGAGAAAGGGGTCCAACACCGTATTAGTGTGGAGGTGCTGATGGTCCTTTAGGTGAGTGTATTTTAGCTGTGATGTGTTTTATTATTGGTGTTGTTTGTGTTTTGTGTGTGCTTGTTTATTTACAGCACTTTGGTCGACAGTGTTGTGTAGAAAGTGCAACAGAAATAAATCTGGATTGGACCGGTTCTCCGGACTGGACTCACTCTGACCGGCTGCAGCCGTCAGAGTTCATCCTCGTCCGTTTCTGTTGAAATCTGAACCGTCATAAATAAACAGTGATGCTTTATTACGTTTTTAATGACATGTTTTGATTTGAATAAGTTCTGACTGGTGTCCTCCTGATGATGCAATCACGAGACACTCCAGTGTGTGGTGCAGAGATCACGTGACCGTGTGAGAGCTGCTGGTTTGAATCCGGCACGCAGCATCAAAGCCTCCAGATGTCAGTCTAATGCACATTAATGCATTTGGGTTGTTTCCTTATTTAGGCCGTTGAGGCTCCGCTGAGGGACGCAGCAGCTGACCAATGTCAGCACGACCCAGCTGCCGTTCAGCACTCTGATTGGCTGGTGGGGATCCAGGGGGCGGGGCTGTGGGATGACAGCAGCATCCCAGCAGATCCAGCGGACATCTGGAGCAGCCCATCCTGAGAACCGAACCCCCCGCACCTAACACCGACACCCCGCACCGAGCCAGCCCGGGAGGCTCTCCCGGTTTCAAACGCAGCCCGGATCCGGTGCTGTCCCGGTCTCTGAGGGCTGAGACTCCATGAGGCTGCTGCTCCGGAGAAGCCGTTTCTGCCGGTAAAAACACGGACACCAAGCCTGGGATCCGGGAGGAGGATGGACTGATCGGATCCGACACCTGACCAGTACCGAGGCCCGGTGGAAGCTGCGCCACATCAGGACTCGGAGCGTCTGGATCCTGGTTCCGGCTTCAGTCTGGATTAAAGAGCCGCGGTTTGGCTGTCTTTGATGTTTTTCTCGCAGACATCTTACCCGGTCCCGGTTCGGAGTTTGAGGGCGCAGGCGCCCCCACCCCACGGTGGTCTGGATCAAAGCCCATCAGGATCAGGAATCATCTCGGATGCTCTAATCTGGGCTTCATCTAAGCTTCAGGTCTGATCTGGATTACTGCGATTCTGGTCCCGATCGGGTCCCATCAGACTCGATCTGATCCTGTCCCGGTTCCGGTGTGCGCTTGGACCTAGACACCTTGGCGCTGGATTTGGGGAATTCCGGTGAGACCATGCCGACGTCCCGGCCTGGTTCGGAACCGGAGGAGTTCTGGGTGGACGGGTCTAGACGGGACGGGACGGTGGAGGATCTCTACAACATTGGCTCGGAGCTGGGCAGGTCTGGGCTGGGCTGGGCTGGGCTGGGGGGTGTTCACTTTGGCCACATGTGCGTCCACGTGAGCATCCTGATTCCGGATTAACTCAGCAGCATTTCATAATCCAGCAGGAGTCAGACCAGTCAGAATCGACAGAACCAGAACCGCTTCCTGCTGCTCAGGAGCCAAAATACAGATAAAAGTAAAAACCAATCTGGAGGTTTATTCTAACCATCACGGCTGAGGGCAGAACTCCCGGATCATTGTAAACAACAACAATTCACCGTAAACAGTTATTTGTGTTTACGTGGTACAAAGTTTTCAGGATATTGTTTATTATATCCTAACTATCGTTAAAAGTTATAGGTTTAAAGTTATTTATGTTATTGATTATAGTCTAAGGGAACGTGGAGAACTTTTACAGAACAAGGATGTTACAATAGTTCGCTCTTTAAGCTCAAATAAAAAACATTTCAGGAGAACATCGTTACAGAAGTGAAACTAATAAAAACATCCCATCTGCTCCACACGTTCACGTTTCGCAGACCTCCAGCTCTTTTACAGGACCTGTACCTTCACCAAACTTCTGCTCCACCCAATTAGCTTCTGCCTTCTTGTGGAGGATCTTGGTACTGCAGAAGAAAAGGCCCAATTATATATCGTCATCATCATCATTATCATCATCATCATCCTCATCATCATTATCATCATCATCATCATCACCATCATCATCATCGTCATCATTGTCATAATCATCATCGTCATCATCGTCATCATCATCATCATCCTCATCATCATTATCATCATCATCATCATCGTCATCGTCATCGTCATCATCATCATCATCGTCATCATTGTCATCATCATCATCATTATCATCATCATCATCTTCATCATCATTATCATCATCATTATCATCGTCATGCATTATCTAAGCTGCATGGTGGCGCAGTGGTTAGCACTGTTGCCTCGCAGCACGAAGGTCGCAGGTTCAAAACTCGCCTTTCTGCGTGGAGTTGCGTGTTCTCCCCGTGCATGCGTGGGTTTCCTCCGGGTACTCCGGTTTCCCCCACAGATCACAACATGCCCTACAGGTAAAAAAAAAAACTGTAAGTCGCTTTGGATAAAAGCATCTGCTAAGCACATAAACATAAACATCATTATCATCATCATCATTATCATCATCATCATCATCGTCATTTTTATTTACCAGAATGCTTCCGGTGTCCAGGTTAAACGTGGAGCTCGGCATGTATATAAAACACTTTCCAGATGAAAAACGGAATAAAAATCTGTCACTAAATAGTTTAAGAATCAAAGAAGCACAATTATTATACGCCTAAAAGGAAAAGCAATGGTAGAAAATTTTGTTGCAATACTGTTTTTAACTGAAAAAATTATAACTTCGTTTTATTGTCATTAACCTAGAAATAGATAAAGAAGTAGAAGATAAAAAACTTTATTTAAGACCAACCCCTCATGGATAATTGTCCCAAATGTCCTCATAAACATCTTTAAAGCAGGGGCATTCAGCAGGGTTTGGTTTTAACCTGCTGAGCCTGATGAGCTGCTGCAGGGGATCCAAGCACTGAATCAGGTGTGTTGGAGCAGAGAAACCACTAAAACGTGCTGACACCAACCCTCCAGGCCCGTAAATGAATACCCCTGCGTTAAAGCCTCCAGATGGAGCATCAGGATTAGTACCTTCACCAGAAACCTGCCAGATCAGTCATGTCTGCTGCCCCCTGGTGGAGGATCTACAGGTGGCAGTTTTAGCTCTTTATCGCTGTTTAAGTTTTACATAATACAATAAAATAATGATTAGGTTTCATTCTGTTAACGTTATAAATGTTAGACCGTAATTAAACTATTAGAGGATTTCTGCTGCTGTAGTTTCACCTTCACCAGTCATTGGTTTTCCATTAGTTCAGTCTCACCGGATCGTTCCGAAGACGCACCACTAGGTGGTTAATGGGGAGGAAGGCGCTCCACTAAAATAATAATAATAATAATAATAATAATAATAATAATAATAATAAACCATCAGTTTATTAGCTGCTACAGGTCATGTGATCCTGTTGGAACAAATCAGACCTCTGAAACATGACGACTCCACTCTTAAACACAAGCTACAGAAATGATTCCTGTCCAGTAAAGTTAAAAACCAAAACCTTCCTAAAACATTTATAACCCTTTATTTACATGACACTTTTATTATTTACACACAAGTTTCCATTTCAGTCAGAAACTATATCTGATCAAAGGGTGAAGCAGAGCACTGTGGTGGATGACGGACACTTTTATTTTGGTAGGAACGTCTGATGACATCATGCTTGCTGTCTTGCGTTTGTTTGTTGTTTTTCAAACATAAACACAAACAAGACCCACTCACGCTGCTAGCCCCGGATCGTTGTTTATTGTTTGTGTTTGTTTACGCTTTGATCCAGTGTTTTGTGTGTGTGTGTGTGTGTGTGTGTGTGTGTGTGTGTGTGTGTGTGTGTGTGTGTGTGTGCGCGCGCGTGTGAATGTGTGTGTGTGTGTGTGTGCACCTTGTTTGTGGATGTTGTTTGTTTGTGTCTTAGGAAGCATGAAACGATAAACTGATGTCAACATGGGTTCTGACACGTGAGCGCTGCCACCAGTTCTGCTGCAAGGTGTCCTGTTGCCATGGAGACCAACCAGGACTGTGTGTGTGGTGTGTGTGTGTGTGTCCGTGCTTTTCAGATGGATCTGTTCCTCCAGCTGTCCCAGCAGAATACTAGACACCCCCCTCCCACTTAAAACTCACACATACACACAAATACCTAATCCCATTGTCATGACGCCAACCCAAAACAACCCTAATCTATCATTAATCCAGCCTAAATCTAGTCTTTATAGGAAAAATGTTCAAACGTGTCTTCAGAAGGAATACAGTCATTAAGTTGCTAAATGATGGAGAAACGCTGCAGTTGGACCCGCCAAATTAAGAGCGTCACACAGCCAACACATTGCAGGGTGAGCTGTGGGCTGCGACATGATCAGATGTCTGAATACGTTTTCCATCTTTGTTTACGTAGTTGCGTGTTTTACCTTCACAAACAAAGACTTTAATCATCAACTTGGTTGTTTTTATAGCAGATGTTTCATGTTTAGTAAAGCCGAGAATATCCAGAGATAACCTCTTATAGAGATGGCAGACGCCGAGACAGTGGCTCGGTTAGCTGGGATTAAATCTAATGCCCAAACCAGTTATCATGTAAAAATCTGGTTCATTGCACTAAAATCCTCACAGACTTCCATTAAAACACCTATAGGCAGATTATTTTGATAGGGGTCAAAGAAAAAAAATCTGTGATAATTACTAATTAATTAGCAACAAATTAATTAAGCATAAATTTCTACTCCAGGAATTGCTCATGAAAAATCATGGATGAATATGGATGCTGTAAAGGCAGAGAAGAGCTGCCATGAGAACTTGGATGTCCATGAGGGGTGTCAGTGGGAATGAAAATGTACTTTTCTTGAACACTAGTGCTTGGTGAGGGAACCTCATGGAGAGGGGTGGGGCTGCATATCCCCATGGTGCCAGTGTGTGTTGCTCTCGTTCTGCACTTTATTTTACCCTTTAAAACGCGTCAAACATAAGAAAAACAGGAGTTTACCCTCCAGAAGGGAAGACAGTGAGTCATTCCAGCGCCCTTTCAAAATAAGAGCATGCTTACAAAGTGAAGTGTTACAATACAACTAGAAAAATCCTGAAGGCATTTTGAAAAAGGGACCAGCCTGCTGGCATAAGACAGTGGCATTGTGTTATATAGGACCAAAATCATGTTATTGGGTGACGACCCCAAAATCAGAGCACGCCACACTTCCCATGGCCGAGCCGCTCGATTTGATGTGGGGGTTCACGCCGCCGTTCGTGCCGCATTAGCGTCCGAGGAAGAACAATCAAGAGAACAAATCCTCTTAATGAATAATAATCTCTTGTTGATCACGTTGTATTTGGGATCATTTGGAACAGATTTATGTCCACACATCACCAGAAGACCAGTATCGGTGTGCGAGTCGGTTCTTCTGTCCCCTTCGTTTGTCCAAAAGTCCAGCGAGAAGCTCTCCTTGCTCATCAGCAGATGTGTGACAGAGAAAGGTTGATGTTTGAGCTCCGTCTCCATAGAAAGTGTTTGGGACCTCGTCCTTCACACACACACATTTACTACAGATACATAACATTTGTGTTTGTTTCTCATGCTCCTGGTTCTCCGAGCAGATAAACTCAGATCTTCTGTCGTTTCAGAGGAGCGACGTCCATTGTTTACCGCTGTGAGGAGAAACAGACCCAGAAACCCTACGCCGTCAAAGTGCTGAAGAAAACAGTCAGTTACCTCCGCCACCAGATGAGCCTAAACATTATGACCACCTTGTAAAGGGTTTTTAGTGAGAACAGCTCGGACGCTTAACCTGAAGAACCTGAAAGGTCTCCATCTAAACAAGCAGCTCCCTCCACGCCCACCTCTTACAGCTGCAGCTCGTGGTCATATTGTTTTGGCTCACTAAGATATTTTTGGCTGCTTATTTCCTGTATTTTGTCTGAAGAGAAAATGTTTCTTTTGTTGTAGATTGATAAGAAAATCGTTCGGACTGAAATCGGCGTTCTGCTGCGTCTGTCCCATCCCAACATCGTAAGTCTGCATCATTTGCTCCTTCTGTGTGTCCACTCAGGGGGATGGGGGTGGAGCCTATCAGGGGCGCCTCCAGAAAATTTAGATGGGGGTGGCCAGAGGGGGCCAAAGACATTTTTGGGGTGGCACACCAAATTGGTCCTTGTGGTAACCCTGGGAGAATTTAGCCTGTGGTGATGTGTTGTATTACTCCTTTAGTAGTTTTTATTAAAATAACAGTACGCATCCAAAATATTTAGCTTAAATTTTACAAATGCAAACGTTTTAGAAAAATACATTTCAGTTATTTAAAATATTACCCCAATTTTAATTTAAAAATGCTTTTTTTACGTTAATTCACCTGTTGTGTAAAAAAAACTATGGAGATAAAAACTTTTTTAATGGTGAGCAGCAGAAACATATGTATATTTTTTTTATTCTGATTATTTCTTTACTTATTAATTGTAATATTTTTATTTAGTTTTACAGCAATGTCTTGAATGAACAAGATTAGTATATGGTTTGACTTAACATTAATACGATTTGTTAACACTGGCTTTTCCGGGGGGGGGGGGGGGGGGGGGGCTATTTTCTCCAACGTTTCCCTGCGGTGTCCGTGAGGGCGCACGGGGTTGGTTAGTGTTCCTCCCATAGATGTGTGTATAAACATGTGTTTCTATGGTTCCTCCTACGTCTGTCACAGCGGTGGGTGGGGTTTGACCGGTTTCCGGGGTTGTTTGTTAAGATGAACGGATCTCTGTAGGGACTCGGCTCTCATCATTCACTTTGAAAACCCGTTCAAAAGATTCAATTCATTTGTAAACATCACATCACTACAAGATTCATCTCAACGAGTGTTTACATGTGGTGTTTTAACACTAACTTGGTGTATTTAGTAAACTCTGCTGGTGAAAAGAGTTCACTATTAACACTAGATGGTGTTAAAATGTTAACTCTTTTAAAAGTGCTGATCTAACACTGAAGCAGTGGCTCCCATATAAAGTCTGAAGAAGTGTTCATTTTAACTCTGAGAGTGTTCATTCAGAACTTTCAAGTTTGCTGTGTGGAGATCAGTCCAAGTTCCTGCAGCAAAACCTCTAAACAGCGAGAGTCAGCCCAGGGACGTGGTTCGTGTCTCGAGTCTTTCAGGAAACCTCTTCCGTCAGGAGTACAGTCTCTCGTGTCGTTCGCCAGCTTTTCCGGTTGGATTTCAGTTCCTCCGTAGGTGTGAATCAAAACATCGGAATGTGTGAAAATATTCAGCGAGAAGATCCAAACGCAACCGAGAGCCTCATCGAGAGGTTGTCCTCCTGAGCGTCTGGCCCGTCTCCGCAGTCCCAACAGACCTCTGGTTAGACATTTCTCCTTTTAGGAGGCAGTGTTTCCTCCTTCGTCTAACTTTGACTCACAAACATTCAGCTAAATAAATAACCAGACTGGAAACAATCCTCTCGTGTCTAAAACGGGCTCGGATGAAAGTCTAAACCCTCGTCTGCATTTCTGGCCAAAAGGAGTGAATACGGTGAATCCCACAGCCAAGAAAATAAAAGCTTCAGTTTCTATGAAAAAGGGTAAAAGCTTCATTTCCCTTTAGAGGATGAAAACCACCGTCTGGTGGAGTTAGCAGAGGACGGGTTGCTCTGGATTGTTGCTAAGGTGTGGAGCTGTGAAGTGTCGGGAGTTATTTCTGGTTCCTGCAACAGCAGTTCGCTCTTTTCTCTTCATGCTGTTAGTGAGTCAGAACAGCGACAACTCCACTGAAACACGACAAAGGTCGGCCATGTAACGCTCCTCGTGAACGATCAGTGTGTCACCAGAAGTGTCCGACCCTGGTCCTCTACTGTCACAGCCGAGGACCACAGGGCACCAGGGTTGGACACCCCTCCTCTACATGTTAAATGCTGTGCTGTGACTTTGTCTAAGTGTTATGTGGAGTGTTGCTGAGACCATCTCAGGACAGTCTCGGTGAAGTTTCAACACCAAAAGCTGCTAAAAGCCTCCTGAGGATTCCAGCAGCTCTGGTCAACAACCAGATTTCTGGTAGAAGGTCCACGTCTCCGAAATAATGACACACCCTTGAGTTTCATTCAAAAACTCCCCAATCCCTAATAACCCGTCAGCCTCAGTCGAGTCGAGTTTGTAAATCCAGATTTAGAAACTTCTGTTTTATTGGAGTAAAATAAACTCCCTTCATATTTTATAACGTGTGTAATGGTCGTGTGATACGTGTCCAGACCAAACCAGACCAAACCAGACCAAACCAAACTAACACAGCTGTTGTTTTCTGCGGTTCAGATCCAGCTGAAGGAGATCTTTGAGACGGACACCGACATCACTCTGGTGCTGGAGCTAGTGACTGGAGGAGAGCTGTTTGACCGGTAAGAAAACACGGATCAGGTGCTGGTTCTGGTTGGTTTACACGATTAGTTTCACAGTTGTGCTTTAAGATCTACAGGCAGAAATCAGTTGTCTATGTTTCTGAGGGGATGTGTAGTTGCAGGCTGGGATGTTTACTGGTCAGCTTAGTCCCGTGTGTTTCTACCAGTGGCGCCCTGAATCACACATGTTGCTCTTTAATTTAAATGAGAACTACTGGTGGGTGTTTGGACCACGCCAGTCACGTACTTTGAGATTTATCAGCTTGTAAAAGTTCGGAATTAGCATGACTACAAATCAGACGTCGTACTTATGTTTATGTATTTAGCAGACGCTTTTGTCCAAAGTGACTTACAAGTGATAATCGGCATGTTGCCCTTGAGGCTAACAACAACAACAACAACAACAACAACAACTGGACATCAATCATGGAGAGGAGGGAACAAGGAGTGGACGGTAGAGAGGGGGGACAGGTGCAGGGAGGGTGCTAGTTTAGAAGATGCTCTCTGAAGAGCAGGGTCTTCAGGAGTTTCTTGAAAATTGAAAAGGAAGCTCCTGTTCTGGTAGTGCTTGGAAGGTCATTCCACATTTGTGGAACGATGCATGAGAAGAGTCTGGATTGTCCTGAGCGTGGTGTAGGCACTGCTAGCCGACGATCCTGTGATGACCGGAGCGGCCGGGCTGAGACGTAAGCCTTTGCAAGAGGATTCAAGTAGATGGGAGCCGTACCATCTCGGACTTTGTATGCTAGTGTTAGCAATTTGAATTTGATGCGTGCTGCTAGCGGTAGCCAGTGGAGCTCAATGAACAGAGGGGTGACATCTTAGGTGTGTTCTTGCTGTGCGTTATTTCTAATTCCATGTTGTAGTTCTTTTTTTAAACACAGAAACAGTTTTGTTTACCTGTTTGTAGCTACAGTTTCGCCGACGGCTGCCGGCTTCTTCAGGCTGACGCTGATGGTGGCGCGTCACTTCCTTCTCCATTTATCCGCGGGCAGCAGAGGACGTTGTCGCCCTCTGCTGCCCGCTCTCCCCTCTCCGACGATGCAGTCCCATGCGTGGTCCAGCGTGTAAACTCCATCGTCCCTGTTCATGGTCCCACATCCACGTCTCCTTATCTCGATTGCTTTCTTGATCCATCTTTTGTTGTTCGGTGTTTATGATCCTTGTGTCGTCCCAGTCCATTATATGGTTTTCTCTTAAGCAATGATCTGTTACGGCTGACTTCTTTATTGTACTTTCTGCTTCTTCTTTTGCTGCTCTTGTGTGTTTTCGATTTGCCTCTTTTTCACACTCCTTTCTGTGTTCTATTGTCCGTGTATTGAGTTGGCGTCCGGGTTCTCCTATGTATGTTTTACTGCAGAGTTTGCATGGGATTTCGTAAACGACTCCACATTTAAGTCTGGCTGTTATCTTGTCTTTTGGGTGTACTAGTCTGTTTCTAACTGTTGTGTATGGCTTTGTTGGTGTGTTTATGTTGTGTTTTTTCATTGTTGCTCTTATTTTTTCTGTTATGCCTCTGATGTATGGTAGGGTTATCACTGGTTTTGGTTCTTGTCTTTCTGGGTTTCTGGTTCTTTTTTTTTTTTGGGTTGTTCTTTGCTTTCTGTTGTTGTTTGTTGTTTTCCTTTGTTTATTGCCCATGTCGGGTATGCGCAGGTCTTTAAAGCGTGTTGTATGTGTTTGTCCTCTTGTTTACGGTCTCTCTCTTCTGTTATTATGTTTGCTCGGTGATATAGTGTTCTGATTACTGACATGTTGTGTATGGTGGGGTGTTCTGATGTCCATAATAGATATTGGTCTGTGTGTGTTGGTTTCCTGTATGTGTTTATGTTTAGGGTCCCGTCGGTCTGTCTGGTGATTTTCATGTCCATAAATGCTATGCTGCCTTCTGTTTCTAACTCATAAGTGAATTTTATGCTGCCCGTGTCGTCAATGTTGTTTAAGTGTTGTGTTAGTGTTTCTGTTTGACCTTTTGGTATGATTTCCAGTATGTCATCCACGTAGCGTTTCCATAGTTTTATTTTGCAGTTGGGGGGGCGGTGGCTATGGCTTTTTGTTCCAGGTCTTCCATGAAAAACTCGCACAGGGTGGCTGATAACGGGTTACCCATGGAGGGGTGATGTGTGCTCTTTTTGGCTGAATGAAGACCAGACGCGCCGCTGCGTTCTGGACCATTTGAGGAGGTCTCACAGTACAGCCTGGAAGACCAGTTAGAAGGGCATTGCAGTAATCGAGGCGGGAGATGACAGTAGATTGCACCAGGAGCTGGGTGGCATGTTGTGTTAGGTATGGTCTGATCTTTCATATGTTATACAGCGCAAAGCGGCATGAACGAGCAACAGAGGCAACACGATCTTTAAAGGTCAGGTGTTCATCAATCACAACACCCAGATTTCGAACTGCCTTTGAAGGAGCCAGAGATAGGAAGTCATTCTGGATTGAG